AGCACATAACAACAACAACAGAAAGAAGACCAATTAATACAACTATTATTCATATTTATGCACCAGCCACTAAAGTCAGTGATGGTGAAATTGAAGAATTCTACCAACTTCAAGTCCTGGTGTCGCGCTGTGGGTTAATTTGCCAGACTGCGAAGCTGTTTGAACTGCAAGGTCGGCAGTTCAAGCTCACCGGCCACTCCTCAGAAACCCTGTACAGGGTGCTATGGGTCAGAACCGACTCGGTAGCACTTCACAACAACAATAACCAACTTCTTCAGTCTGAAATTGATCAAACATGCAATCAAGATATATTGATACTTACTGGTGATTGGAATGCAAAAGTTGGAAACAGGAAGGATCAATAGTTGGAAAATAAGGCCTTGGTGAGAGACACAATACTGGAGACTGCATGATAGAATTTTGCAAGACCAAGGACTTCTTCATTGCAAAGACCTGTTTTTAACAACATCAAAGACTATACGAGAGAAAGGGCTGCCTGGTTTGAAGTTCAGGGAGATGTGTGAACTTCAGAGCCCAAGAACACTGACCTAGCCACTGGGGGCTAGAGTTAAGAATGAAGCAGCCAACTGGGCTGAAGAGGGGGGAGGCGTGCAAGATTTCCCCAAATTGCACAGTACCCATTTGACTAGCTTGGATGGCTTGCCAACCAGAATTCAGCCAGATAAAGATAAAGACAAAGGGAGCAAGCATCAGTTGCTACAACCTGATCAACTGGATCTTTGCTTATGGATGGTGCTGGTGCTGGTGGTTATGTGCCCTGGAGTCAATTCTGACCCATAGCGACCCTGTACAGGGTTTCTGAGGCTGTAAATCTTTACGGGAGCAGAAAGCCTAATGTTTCTCCCACGGAACATCTGGTAGTTTCGAACTGCTGACCTTGCGGTTTGCAGGCTGATTCATAACCACTATGCTACCAGAGCTGCTTATGGATGAAGCTGCCCAAAATTCCAATAGAAAGGGAAAGATTCTTCATATCAAGGATCAAGCATATCTCCTCAGTACACTGGGTTCACAGGGACAGGCAACTTAGATTTCCGCTTTCAAAATTAGAGTCTATAAAGGCACGAAGTGGCTGACTTATAAGCTTTCATGAGGGTGTTTATTGTCAGATGAGGGGAGTAAGACAGAAACCCTACTGAGTAGTTCTCCTCTTGTCCAGATGGGTCTGGGGATGAGAGGAATAGGATATTATGACTCAATTGTGAGTAATTGTTAACAGGTATAATGGTGATTGTCACAACTGGAAATGTAGAAGAGATACAGCTAAAAGGGGGAGCAGTTAATCTGTTGTTTCAAGAATAGAGGACCCTAGGACCATCAAGAGGGAAGAACATGAGAGGAGTGAGAGATCCTAACCAGAAAAGCAGAGACAGCAGATGGTGG